AGCACAGCAAGCCGCCAAAAACCCGAAGCGGGTTTGCTCGGCTAACCTCGCTCTGGCACTAAACAAAAAATTCTATAAAGAAATGGCGTATCAAAATATCAATTTCTGTACTTCTCTTATGCGATACACCGATTCTGAATGTGAATTGTGCAAGCACATACCCTTTGGTATCTTCCTTTTTCTTATCGGCGAAGTCAAAAGCGAGCGGCTTGAAATGATGGATATCATCGTGGGTGAGGTCACTGCGGATCCGGATGCCTTTTCCCTGCCCAACACTGTCTTTCTCAAGCGGATCATCATTTGCTCCCTCCTCAGTCAGCCGTGATTTCTTCTTAGGTGACTCTTCGCTTTCGGGATCAGTTATCTTCATTTCTTGCGTGTTTTCGCTTTCAGTTTCTTTTCGCTCGCTCTCAACGCGCTGCAAATTATACCCCACGTCTGTTGAAATTACCAGCAATATTCGGAAAGATATCTGCTGCAGGAGTCCCATGCTCTGTCAGTCTAAGTCTGCCCTGCTGACTCTTAGAAGGAAATAACACGACGCAGCAAATGTGTACGAATTATTAGCTGTGCAATTCTAAGGTGAATTTTATAACAGGAGAACTCTTCGCTCTTATACGCAGAGAAGTGATAAAATTTCATAGCTATTTTGTGCATGTACAATAAGAGCACAAGGTAACTTTTATTACTATGCACCCATATTAGTCTGTTCGAGTAATTAAAACAAGGCAAAGGGTAAATACGAGTTGCCCCAACTGCCTCCCCACGCTCTTCTATAACCGTTGTCATTTCCCCTCGGTTGCTTGAAAAAGCACATTTGAGGAAGAAGATCCGAAAATGAGCATGAACGCGGAGCGTATCGAACCACTTATCCACGTATCTGGATAAGATGCATTCATCACCGGCCGTCATGCTTAAAGTCCAACAGCAAAAACATATATCTGCGTACCTATGGCACCTCCACACATACTCTGCTTCGTTTGATTGCTGCCGCCACAGGCTTTTCGCGAAACTTCGGTATACTCTACGGCATGTACTCAGTAACAGCAACCACGAAAAACCTGCCATCTGCGTCAACGACGTAAAGGTATGCTATGATGAAACGATAGCTAATCAAAGAATTTTTCGGGGTATTTCTTTGAAAACCTTAGCAAAACACGTAAGTCCGCACTCGCGATGGCATGCATCTAACTGAAGCAAAGAGAATAAGTGCCTGTGTGTGAGTGTGTTTTTTAGTTCAAATATAGGTTTTTACGCCAAGCAAAAAAAGTGAACTGTTAGAGTATCGAAAAAAAA